AGGAGAACCAGCTGCGGACAGCTCGGGGTGTGCCTTTGGGGGGAGACCAGGGTCAGGGGCGCGTGTCGTGCATTCGGCAGAAGTCAGGAGCAAATCCCCCTTGCCATTGAGATACCAGTGTGCAGCTACCTATGAAATTGTGTGATTTGCACGGTGACTGGCAGTTTGAGAAGTTGTTCTCATCTTTCTGTGGAGTTTTGCTTTTATGTTTCCAGTTTTGAAAGCCATATATTAAGAAATTAAGATCTCCAAAGCTGATTGAGGACCTCTTTTTAATGCCAGTCTGTACTCCCACCATATGTATCCTGGGCTGGAAGATCATACAAGATCATTCTCTTCAGAATCCTTCTGCACAACTCTGTTCAATTTGCATTGCCACGTTACTCATGCTCTTACCTGTTTATATCTCCAGCTTCGTAAGAATACAGGCTCTTTTATCTTTAAATGGTAGTGTAACAGCTTGTTCTGAGTGCACCGGCACAGCCTTACTCTGAAGAGTGCCAAAAAGGAAACGTATAAAACACGTCTCCTGTGATCCTTCGGTTACAGTCTTAAACTTCCCCACGTTTTGTCGCGCATTCGCTGGGCTGGACCAGTAGGATCTCAGCCAGTGGTGTGAGTGTGCTGTGTGAGGCTGTTGTGTTCGCCTGTGGTGCTGGCTGGAATGTGAGCGTGTGCCTCAAATAGCACACGTCTTTGCAGGAGAAAATAGCTTATGACCACGTATACGTGTTGTTGTCGTGCAGCCCACACAGCGCGGAGTTGTTCTGCGGTTGTAAGTGGAGGAGCAGGAGCTGAGGTGGGATGTGCTGAGGAGCCGGGACCGTAGAGTAGGAGCTAGGTGGTGCTCTCAAGGGAGCTGGAGCTCGACAATTTAAACTTCATTTAAAGCTGTGCTTGTAATCATTCTCTAGTAACAACTTGGGCTTTCAGAAATTTTGGGGGAAAGAGCAGGGAAAAGTTTTTCTGGGTATAAACCCATACCCAGACACATACCACTTGGAGGGGGAAAAGACCCCAAGCAAACCAAGGCCACAAACCAGCTGCGAAGTGGAAGAAGCTACCCAGAAAAATGTTTCTTCAGAACTCAGTGACCCAGTGTGTTTCCTTTCAAAAGGTTCTGTGGTCATCTGCGTTTTTAGAAGAGAGACCCAAATACTATTAATGCAGATCAAGCAGTTTGGCTCTTTGCTGTTTTCATTTATGAACCTTCAGTCTCTCCTCCGCTGGAACGTCCTTCTTCATTTGATGTTTCTGTTTCACACTAGAGCTCTGCTTTGGCTTCTCCCCTTCTGCTTACCTTTAAAACTCCTTCATCCCTTGGGCCCCTCTCTGAGCTCTGCCCCAGCCTCTCTTCCTCCAGAGCAGGAGCGGTCCAGCCACCGCTCTTGGTGCCTCTCCCCTCCCCTGCTTACGCCTTTGCCCTCCTTTCTGCTGCGCTCGCCAGAATTCGGGGCGTTTGACCTGCTCTCCTTCTCCTGCCCTTGCTGTTGTGTTTCCTGTAAGCTGTTCGAGGGGGACGGGCACAGGACATCTCGCTGTCTGCTTCAGCTGTTGTTTACACCCATAAACGTGCTAAATAGGTAAATTGCCCCGACACTTGTATAACTCTAATGCTCTGTCCCTGGAGCCGATGTACAAACGAGACAGCAGATACGGGTGCGTTTGTGCCTTGGTTACTGCCAGCCCAGAAGGGAGTTGTTTTTCAGCACACTCTTAAAACAACAGAGCGACACGTGACTGTCGGTGTTAAATGCACTGCAAGTAGCACACGCGTGATCTGGTGGTTGCCACATACGCTGTTGCTTAACAGTTCCACCCAAAAACGCTTCCTGACCCGGGGCGAGCAGAGCACAGGTACTGGACTCCTGAGCCGAAAATATTTTCAATAAATGAATAAATAAACTTTGGCAGAGAGAGTCCTTGAGGTGATGTTATTTGGCTGCCGCCTGTGCTGAACAATAAACATGAAACATATCCCAAAATAAAAGCTCTCGGGCTGCAGGAGACACAATGTACTGACCAGCTGCTTCTCAGTGCTGCGAGGCTCCAGCTCACCCACGGGAGCGCCCCCGCCTTCTGGCACGTCTCTCGGCCGAGATGCCAGCGCTTTGCGTGTGGTACCGTGGCGTCACGCTGGGGAGGGTCAATGACCTCATGTGTTACTGCCTCTCACGCAAACCCGCGGGGTTTATTCTGGTTCTGTTCTCCATTACGCCAAGCAGGTTCCTGGGTGGAGCTCCACTTCAGCAGTAATGGAAACAGCAGCGGCAACCCCGGCACGCCGACGAGCCAAGAGCAAGTACCAGCCTCCCTTTCCATTCACAACGGCGACATGGAGAAAATACTCCTCGATGCTCAGCACGAGTCGGGAAGAAGCAGTTCCAGGGAAAGTTCGCACTGCGACAGGTAAACGAAACGCCCTGTTGCGAGCGCAGTAAAGGTCACTGTTGCACGGAGCCGTTTTCATGCCCAGGAGGCAGAGACAAGTACAGAAGCACTTACACACCTGTGTGTGTGTGTGTTTGCGTGGGCACATCCGTACCCGTGCACGCACGCAGAGAGGGAGCGACAGGAAAATTCCGTATTTGACAGATTGGTATTTAAATACCAGAGTATTGCTGGGGTAAAGCCTGCCCTGAAAGCAGAAACAGGGGAGAGGGCCCTAGGAGCTTCTCGCACCTCAGGAACACGCTGTCATGGGGTTTGGTCTGTCCTGGTAAGAAGTCGAGCAGCTGAACCTGGCCCAGGCGTGCCGTGGTCGAGGCAGTCACGTCCTGCGGAGCCGTGCGTGGCTGTTGCGGCAGAGGGTCAGGCCCCGCGCAGGGCTGCTGCCGGGAGCGGGGCTGCCAGAGAAGGGTGATGAAAGGCAGCCTGTGTTTGTGGTGGGGTACGTGGGTTGATAGTTCTTGGGTAGCTGCTAAAGAACTGCCCTACCCCTGCGTTACGAAGCCCAACAGCCCTCTGGGAGTGTAACACCACGAAGCGACTTGCGTCTTGCGCAGATTGTCAGTCCGTGGTGCTAATTCATTTACTTGATTTTGATGGGCTGTGAAGTCTGCAGCCCCAAGTTTATTTAACAAAAGGGAAAAAAAAAAAAAAGGGAACTACAGGGCTCAAAATAGACAGCAGGATGCAGAACTGGCCTTGCCTGGCGAGTTTGAATTCAAACCAACCCCCACTTGGAGTTCCTCGCTCGCTGCCCTTGTTGCTTGGTCAGTGAGGGGCCGGCTCAGGCACCTCCCAGGCGGGCCTCTGCGCCGCGAGGTGCTCAGCAGGTTGCTAGAAAACAGAGGATTAACTGAATGTGGTGGCTGGGTTATGTCACCCATTGCCAGATTAATCTCTTAAATTATGGTCAGGGCACTACAGCTCTTCAGCAGAGCTGTGCTTATGGGCTTCATTGACCAGCTTTTAGTCAGAAGCAATGTCATTAAAAGTTTAATGAGTTCTTTCTTACTTGTGCTTCTCTCTTTATCAGCCCTCCTCGTTCCCAGACACCTCAGGACAGTCACAGAGCTTTGGAAATAGAGAGTCACAGCAGCGGAGAGAAGAATAGCTTTCAGGTAAAAATCTCCTCTTGCTTTGGGAGAAAGACATTTCTTTTTTCTTTTTTTTTTTCTTTTTTTTCTTTTTTACTCTCTGTTTGAAAACCAGCATTGGGAAGTAAGAGGTGAAGCTGCTGATGGGGAGACTTCAGTAATTTCATAACTGAGAATAATCTTTGCAGAATCAGGCTTTGTCTATTTGTATGTGACTTGCGTCGATTTTTAAATATTTTTTTTTACCTGCGGTTTTTCAGAAGTATTTAGTGCCCTAATCTCTGAAAGATGGCTGGGTTCTCAGATGCCTCTTCCCAGCCTCGAGTTGAAAAGTCCAACCTTCAGGTCCTGCGAGTAGCTTTTAGGGAAAAACTTACTCCAGAAGATGACTGCTAGTCTGGAGTTCACGAGAGCTGGAGTCAGCGCCTCGCGAAGCCTCCGACTTCTGGTGGTCCTGAGCCGTGGTCTGTCCCGGCTGAGTTCGCCCCGTGAAGCAGGCGCTGCTCGGCGCTGCTCGGCGCTGCTCGGCAGGTCGGCCGCGACCTCGCGGGACGCCTGGGCGTTGGTTCGGGCCGGCAGGGACGGCCCTGGCAGGGCGGGTGTGCGGGGAGCCGCGGCCTTCTGCGG